TATATATATATATATATATATATATATATATATATATATATATATATATATATATATATATATATATATATATATATATATATATAGTGACATCGTCTCGTTTCTTCTCCCCACGTGGGGAGAAGAAACCTCGCGAAGCTTCTTCTCCCTATGCGGATGAGGAGAAGTTGCAGACGATGCCGAGGCCTCGTTGCCTCAGATGAGGAGGCGACATTTCATTTGCGGCGTCCGGTGAGGGAGGGCGGCGACGGATCGGGATTGTCGAGGGAGAGTGACATCGGATCTCTAGGTTCTCCCTCTTCTTCCTTCTCCCTCGGCTAATACCGCCCAGTAGCGGGCGGTGACGATCGAAATCGACCATCACCGACTGATTTCGCGTGGTAATGGGGCGGAAACAGCCCCAATCGACGGTATCGCCCGGTAGCAGGTGATCCGCGTACCGATTTGCTGGCGGACCGGTACGTATTGCCCGGTACGGGCGGTATCATTTGAAATTAAAAATATAGCTTATAACTCCCAATGCAAATTAATTTTGGTATAATGTTCTCTGAATTATACTATATCTAACTTATAAATTCATCTAAATTCCATTATCAGTTTGCCAACTATTCAACTTATAATCCATCATATGGTGATTACCAATTAACCAACTACACAATGCTACAAAGTAATCTTATTTCACTATTTTTTTTAACCAAACTATCATAGATTATTATAAAATTTTGTAGGAGCACAGGAGACATATAAAACTAAATGTATATAAAATTTCATCTAAAAACAGAATCATTAGGAGACTAAAGTACCCTCCAAATTCAACTATCATTTTTTATTCTGTTCTATTGAAATTCGGTTAAGACTGCCTGAGTTTCTAAGGCTAATATCTTGGGGTACAAAAATGATATTCACTTAATTTCAAATCCTACAAAACCCTAGGGATCCTTTTATGACATATCAAAAGAGCAAGATTTAATTATATCCCTATGGGTGTTAATTTGGCTTGAACAGAATCCCTTCACGAAAAACAAGGATTGTAAACACTCATAACACTATATACCAATATCATATTAAGACAATATCAGAGGCCTTAGAAACATAATTAATTCATATACAACATATCTAAAAATCAAACATTAAATCAAATTTTAGGTTACACAAAAGCAACTTAAAGACAATATGCTAAACTAAAACCCTAGATATAGAGGGGGAAGAGTCAGGTTTTTTTATCTTAATCTTCCTTACAGTCAGGGTTCTTGAGCTTCAATGAAGAAAGGATTGAGCAACTGAGGGAGAAAGTGAAAAATTAGGGGAAGGGGTTGGGCTGGTAAGGAGGATAAGACCAAAACTAGATCTGCTTAAGAGGAAGCTAAGGAGTCTTGCGTTCAATCCCATATGCCTCATCTGCAGTTTTTTTTTTCTTTTCTTTTCCTGGCATCATTTGAATGTTAATACAACTTAATATGAGTTTAGTTTGGGTTGATAAAAATAAAGGGTTTTCACTTTATGTTTATTCTTCAATCTCACTCATGGATCTTAGCAGTTTTTAGGGGAACACTTTTTTATTTTTATCTCCGCATAATTATCCATTACTCCATGCATGCATAAGTAACTTATTATCTTCTATATATATGATGTTTAAATCTCAAGCTTACTTTTTTTAAAATATGATCAAACTCATTCAAACCTTGAGAATCACTTAAGGCTTAGTACAATGCAACGGTCTCTTCGAATCACCGTGTGCATTCTTATTTTCATGACTTAACTTTATACTAAGTCCGCTAGTATAATTAAATTTGTCGAGTCAGAGGATCATACCTTTTCGCTATAAAACATACTTATAGTCATCAATGCTTATATATATGTCAAAAAATATTTGGAAGAACTTTGTGCATCATATTGTTGAAAGCATGTACATCAAATATAAAAACTGATAGCATAAGCCTGTCATATATCATACTTCTTAAGCATAGACATTTAAATATATTTTTAAGTAATGATAATATATGTATTTTATTTGTGCTTCTATTAACATGCTAGGTGTGTTGTAGTGTGAGAACTTGGGCACTACAATGATGGTGTCCAGGAGTTTGAAGAGAAGATACATATGGGTCAGCGAAAGCAAAATTTTCGTGTTGATGGAGATTGAGGCATTGTTACTAAGAAATCAGTTCCCACTCGAGCTGGCATTCTCATGAAACTGAATTGGGAAACTTCTGCTGTTAGGTTTATAAGTTTGTGGGATCGATCAACCCAATGGAAACAGATAACTAAAAGAAAAAAGGTTAAGGATGGTCATGGAAAGGGAACAAGAAGGGAGGATGTAATGGCAATGTGGCTACCCATTTGACCACTGATGATTGCATTCTACTTCCCGAGCAATCCTATTTGAGAGGAAGTCTTAGTTTGAGAGAAAGATTAAACAAGGGATTCTTGTATTTACACTTGGATCTCCTTTCTAACCTTGTTACACTGAAACTAGAGAAAACTCCCACTATTAATCTTACTTCGTGTTGTTAGTCTATACTAAGATAAAAGCTTCCACATCAGATTCTTCTGTTAGGTTATTTGTTTTTTATCCATAGGAGTACCTGAACTATTTCATAATTTACCTTTTTCCTGATTTCTGCTTTAGTACGTTTTGAAACCCATTTCTAACACTAGCAACTATCCGCTGAAGAGAAAGGAATGATGCATCTTATGCCTGTAAAGGTTGGACGTATAGGTATGAATCAATGATTTTATGGATTTTTCAAAAAGCATTGGATCTGGAGGCAAAAACAAATCTAAGTAGGCATTTGCATCACATTATATTAATGTCAAGAAGGATGATTAAACAAAAACATAGACAAATTATCTTTAGAAAGTTGTTAGTACTGTGAGATGCATAGATCGACGTTGTTTCTAGTCCTGTTGACTTTGATGATGTGACTTCTTCCTTAGGTGATTAAGGATAAACCTGAGATACATAATGTTTCAAAAGTTGATAAGTATGGTTATGATAAATTCACTTGATTACTAGTCTTGTTGATTTTTCTTGATAAGACTTGGTGACTTCAGTGATAGAGGGCAGACAGGAGAGATCATGTCAAGGAAGTTTAAAATTATTTTGATGATGAGCCATTTTATCCTCGGTTAGTCATGATTCAGCGCAAGGAGTCTCAATAGAACCAGAACAATGCAGTTCTGTTTGGAGAACCACTTAATATAATTGATAGTTTTGAGGTTTAGCATACGTTTAGCTGATTTTTGGATGCTGTCGGAGGGTTAATGATACTGACAGTGACACTATTGGTGCACGGAATATTTTTGGAAGAAAATGTATGACTTAGGTGTGTATTTGTAGTGGAGTGATGAAGTTGGCACTTTGCTCAATCAGATGCAGCATCGTGTCATTGATTCTTGATAAATGTGTGATAATAAGGACCATATATTTGTTCTGATTTAGCCTTTGTTTGAGGGGGATACTGTTCATATGTCAACTGGGGATTGTGCATGTGAAGTTGTGTGGGTGTCTTGCTATCATGTATGATCTCCATCTCTATTATGATTAGTTAAAGTTGGTTCATATATCATCGTGTTGTTCTTAGCTATAGAAAAAGTCATTTGTTCATGTTCAATCTTTTGTGGATTTTTTAGGCCAATGCTATATAAGACATCATAAGCTTCACAGTTATGACATGAATTCAACATCACAATAAACAAATGAGACAGGACCTGTATTTTTACTCAAATTTAAATTTAGACTATCATGCATGCTTTCCTTACAATTATCTCTCTTTTTTCTTGTTGTCCATCGACATCCACCTTTTAACAGGTAGCAAAGCCGAAGAGCCAAAGGTCGCTGGAGATCCATTAGCTGCCATGGGCAAAGCTGGTGCCGTCCTTATGGTGTGCAGGACCTGTGGCAAGAAGGGTGACCACTGGACATCGAAGTGTCCTTACAAGGATCTCGCACCGCCAACGGACAGCTTCATCGACAAGCCCCCAGGTGCTGAGACCGTTGCGTCGCAATCTGGCACTGGCAAGGGTGCGTATGTGCCGCCCAGCATGAGAGCGGGTGCGGAGAGGAGTGGGACGGAGATGAGGCGTCGGAATGATGAGAACTCCGTGCGTGTCACCAATCTTTCGGAGGACACCCGTGAGCCGGACCTGATGGAACTCTTCCGGACCTTTGGCCCTGTCACTCGTGTGTATGTTGCTGTAGATCAGAAGACTGGAGTCAGTCGAGGTTTTGGTTTCGTCAACTTCGTCAACAGGGAAGACGCAGAGCGAGCCATCAACAAGCTTAATGGCTATGGCTATGACAACCTCATTCTGCGAGTCGAGTGGGCGACACCAAGGCCCAATTGAGTCTCTTCTGGCTTCAAGCTGTTCAGATGAGGAACCTTTTCTTTCTGCTGCTTTTTGTTTTGTCCGTAAACTTGATATTGAGATTTGCACATTTTGCATGATGCTAAATTGTTTCTAAGAACGCAGCATATTGGTTCGGATAATGCTTGCACTACTGTTATTATTATTAACATTATTATCTGCCTTGAGTGTGGAAAATGAAAATTATATTGTTGTTTTAGTCTTATAATATTTAATTCCCACTAAAAAAATATCTTCTTAATGCTCAAAATTAAAATAGTAATGATACAATGAAATTTAAATATGGTTGAATTGTTTTCTTCACACTTCAAAGTCTTCTCAGATAAATGATTACCACACTCACGTTGTTCGAGCTGTGCCATGCCAACGCCAGCTTCGTCAGCAGGACCGTTGCATTCGAGCACCCCGTGTTCGAACCCCCACTGCAATTGTCCCCCTCGGTCGCGTCATCCCCTGCCGTCGCCGTGCTATTCCGCAGGCACGTCCGCGCGATGCCGCACGCCCCCTCGTTGCTCACCACGTCCCACAGCCCGTCGCTCGCCAGGAGCAGGCACTCGTCCCCTTCCTTCCTCTCCGTCACCTCCGGCTTCGATATCCATGAGGTGCATGGCACATCAAGTTCCAACTATACAACTATGCAACATAACCACCCCAAGAGCCTAGGGCGGTGTCGTCTGACACCGTAGAAGCACCCCCCAGAGACGCTATCTCGTCATAGGGGATGTCCCACCCTCATAAGGGTCAGCGGGCACACCAAACTAAGGTGCGACGGACTCTCGCACGCAGGGATAAATATCTCTGGCCAACCCCAAGGAAGGGGAGAAAGAAAAAGGGGAAAAAAAACCAATCTAACTTGTTCGTCGGAGGGGCCAAAGTCGGGACACACCCGACGAAGGCCTTTTTGCAGAGAGGTGGTCGTCATTAAGCCGTAGGCGCCTTCACCCCAAAGTCGTCTCCCAATACGCAGAGGAGGGCGACCCAGTGGCTCGGATCCGACAGGTGCCAGTCTCATCTCCCGATCCAAAGAGGAGCTCACGTGGTGAGGAAGGTCGTCATCTATCCTAGGGACGAGCGGACACGTCTTCCCACAAACAGAGCTCGAGGTCGACGAACCTTGGAAAGACAACCCTCGCATTCCCACCAGAAGTTTCCGACGTTGGCAGATGGGCCTAACCGTGTTGACTCATCAATCACGGTACATTTGTTAACCAACAGATGGATAAGAAACAAAGACGATGAATGAAGATAACACGTGAGAAACAATATTGTACGTAGGTGATAAGATCTCACGATGGAAGCAAAGGGTGAACACGACTAGCAAGTGACAATGATAAGACAAAGACGATAGATGAAAAAAAAAAAGGGAAAAGAAGGATTATTTATGAGATTAGCGACACAATATCAACAAAAAACGAAAAACAAAAAACAAAGGGCATATTTAAAAAAAAATATAGAAAAAATATATATCTAATATATTTTTTAAAAAAGTATTTGATACAAATTATTTTTATTATTATTAATATATTTCATGAGACATGCACCACTAAGACTCCAAGTGGCTTCTGGTTCTCGGTGAAAGAGAGCGTTCCCACCTCGTTGGACGGAGGTGTGTCCACGCCCGATCGACATCCCCAACTCCTCCGGCAGAACCACCGTGATGCTTGGCAGCTGTAGGAAGACAAGTGTCGGTGGCTCGTCCGCAGCATTGCCCATAGATGATCGTTTTCTCGCGTACATACATACGGATGCTGATACGTATTCTCTACCATATATGCCAAAGGGAAAAGATGAAGAGCCTCTGAATTCTTTGATGGTTGCATACGGAATGTGTAGACGACTTCAGGGCACGAAAGCGAGTCCATGAAAACAAGAGGAGCACCAGACGAAAGCGGATGAGTTGGTGGACTGATAGAGACTTAACGGGTGGATCTCCCGGAGGCGGAGACCACGGAAGCGATGGGGCCCACTAGGCGGAGGATTTCGGAACGTGGGTGGGTAGTTGGCAATTGACTCGTTTAACTCGGATTAATCACGACTAATTATAGATAATATTAATTACTTTAAATCTAATATATTTATAAATATATAAAAATAAGGTTAATGTTGTCTGAAAAGTAATCTGAAAGAATGAGATGATTTCCACTAAGAGTCGATCATAATTAGCCATAATGACATATACGCAGATACATTGTGTTCTGATTGATTGATTGATGAGATTATTTTTAGTTTTCTCTGAATGGCTGAAGTTGAAGGGCCAGCATAGGCTACTTGGCCCAACTGAGAACCGAAGAACCAGATGGAAGTATCCTATCCTCAACTATTTATTTGATAAATTCTTGAAAAACAATTTAGTTTAAAGAAATTATTATAGAGCATTCTTATTTTTTTAATTTTTGTAGAGTGTCTTTTTTCATAAAATATCATTTTGTCCATTGCTTACGCTCCATTGATCATCACCTCTACCCCTAGTCACTTGCTCTTTCGCCCCTAGTTGCCTCTATGCATAGGTCTTTGACCACCGTCGCCCCTGGTATACCCAATAGGTACCATTCTAATTGTGTTATCGGGGATATTTGAAAGATTATAATAAATAAAAAATGCGTTTGAGAAATATGAAAGAGTAGATATTACAAAAAACTAAAAAGTCAAAAAAAAGGCTTTTCCATAGAATTAACCCATATTAGTTATATATTTTTAATAGAATACATAATAGTCCAACCAGTTTGATCCACCGATCTCATCAGTATGTGTAATGCTCAAACATTGTGTTTATTTATGTTTAAATCTTTAAGGTAACCTGTTTGTGAACCTTTTATTCTGAAAACAGCCAATTGCTTGAGACTCTTTATACTGATTCCTGAGCATGTTTTACTACCTAAAACTCTAACTATAAGAAGAAAAAAAATCTGACTTGCTATATCAAGACTTGACCTCTCTTGTTTGGTGGCATAACTATATAGACTAATATTTACCAATCTTGATTTGGCAAGCAAAACCTAATAATCCATGTGGCATTTGTATTCTTTTAGTAATTGTATTAAATAATAAAGATTTAATCATAAATCTCAACAATAGACTTTTATAATTCATTAAAAAATAATGATGTAGAAAAATAAGAGACATCAATTTATTAATCACCGTCGCTCTATTTTCTTTTGATCTCTCTAATTCTTAAGGTCATGTACAACAAAAATGACAATAATGCCATAAAGTTCAATTATTTGGGGTTGACTATATATCTTTAGTTAACTGAAGATTATTTAAATATTTATTTATAATATTTATTGAAATAAAATATTTAGTTTTTACTTATAATTAATATTAAAATAGTTTTCTATCTTCATCCATTTGTTTTTGTATAACTAATAATTATTTTACCTCTTTTGATTACTATCATTCGTAGGTCTTCTTAGCACATACATGTACTATCTTAAACGATTCTTTCTTATTTTATTTTTTTTATCAAAATAATATTTAACTATTCACGAATGAAATATTTCTCTTCCTATAATAACTTCATTCTCAATTGCTAATAAAACTCTTAATTCTCAATTCTATTGCGGCTTCAAGATCAATTCAACAATTGACTTGTGTGGTGAGACAGTGGTAGATCTATGAGGATGTTTTTTTATCTCATTCTACCGATAAGTAGTCTTCCATATTATATAAAATATATCATCTTTTCTTTTCAGGAATATCAAGGTTTTAATGTGGTTCAAGTCAATACACAATAATATGCAGTAAGATTTATGATTGTGAGGGATGACAGTAGGATCTTTTTCAAGCGTGTTCTTGAAGAAATCAAAGCTTGTTCTTCATCATGTGACCCAACTTGCAAACAAAACTTGGCTCAGTCTCTTGCAAGCTTGATTAAACTAATCTGATTTGAGTTTGGAGTCTAGTTGAAGGATCATCATTAAGATTCTTTGGACATATTATATATTTCTGGTGGAGCTTGTTGTTTTCTGATGGTTTCTGCACCTTGGGGTGATCTACAAGCTATTCAATAAGATTCACAAGAAAGGAAATTGAGTTGAAACTGATTGCTATCATTTTACTGAGTAGTTTATGTCAAGTGATGCACATCAACAGTGTTGTAGAGAAATTAATTGTGAGAGGTGTTAACATTTTATGCAAATCATGCAGGACCAGTTTGATGCTTCTTGATTTGATTAATGCATGTATATTTAAGTTGGGGCATTTGGGAGCCAACTGGACATGGTGTTCAGCAACACAGCCAAAAAGAGTCAGACCACTGACAATATTAGTTATCTGCTTCATGATTCCACATTGGTTTCATACTTCTTTTCACTCACTAGGAGAAAGAAATCTGGTCATGTCAAGAACATAGATCAAGAGATTTGTCATAAATCGATTTCTGATGATAGTAAAGAGCTTCATGATCTATTACTAGTATTATTAATCATATATTTAATCTCGTATTGAAAGTGAGTTAATACTTCGATTGATTTATAAAGATTTCATCAATATATTATCGTTAATTTGAGCTTAAATATTTTGAACTAGTGATTTAAAATCAACGAAATTAACAATTAGTAGTTAAGAGAGTCTAATTCTTTTTAGATCAATCATTAGGTCGAGTAGTGACAAGTGAATTATCTAAGATGTACAAACTCTTGGTTTAAAGTTATTATAAAAATATTAATAATTAACTTTGATAATGATTCACCAAATATTCACTTAAAAGTCCGAAGCAAAAGGCCAAGAAAAAAGATATATTTCGAGGCATAAACCCTAGTAAGCTTTTTTTGATGTCATGATCCGATTACAAGAGATAATCGATTTATTCTTGATAGACCATGTGATTTAACATCCTCGTTAAAACCCAATTATAATCCACGAGTAAATCTTTAATCCTAATACTTTCATTTATGGGTGTGATGTTGTCGTGAACATAATAGAAAGAGAAGACAAAGATCCAAACATAATATAGAATCAAATCTTTATCACCGTCCTTTCTACTTCGACCATTCAACATGTCATGTGCTAAGTCGGCTCTGAGATAAGTTACGATGTCTAAATCGAATAGAATTATGTGGCCAAAACTACTTAAAATCAAATTAACTATAAAACACTCGTAAATCAATTGAAGTCATCTTCTTCCATTTCCATATGGGCTGAAAGTGCTGCAGTTTATCTCACCTAACAAAATCTATCATATCATAAAATCGAAAATAAAATGACCAGAAATAGGGAATAATTTCTAGGAAAAAGAAGTACAGCAAGAATCAAAACAATGGAAACCTAATTTGGTGCCATCTACCAAGACCACTAAATACTTTGAACTGTTGTTAATTCATGTCCATCTGGATCACAAGAAGAAAAGAACACAATTCAAACTGACAATTATGTACTTTAAATCCTAGCTTTGTAGGCCGCCGCCTGTTCGATTCCTTGAAGAACAAACATTCACTCACTCTTCTGCAAAAGCTTAAGGTCTACAAAGTATACTGTCACCTAACATTCGGTAACAAAGCTTGTGATGAGATCATTAGATGAAGGAATATTACTGTGATGAAGGAAGGGAAGAGAACATTTTATAGCAAACAGAGGACTGTTCGAATTCAGTACACAGAACAAACAGTCATGAAAAAGCATGCTTGTAACAATTAGCAGTAGCTTTCTTGTCCAAAAGAAACACACACACATGTAGTAGTTGTCTTTAACACACTGATAGCTGCAACGAAGGCCACTGTTCTTTCTTCCTACTCTTAAATTACCGTTTACAGAAGACCCCTCCAAAGAAGGAAGAGAGAGAGAGAGAGAGAGAGATCCTCTATGCTTGTCTTCTCATGTGGAACTCGGAGTTCACTTGTATTATAACCATCTCACAGAAGGATGATATCAAATAGACAATATCAGTAAAGCTACGTTAGTTTTGTTAGAAAAGGGATTGAGAAAAAAATTACAGAAGATGCTGATTTATATTAACATGTCCCTCTTGTATGTTAGATGTTAGGAGAGAGGATTTTCCAAGATTTCTCTCAACAGAGTAGAGAGATTTCCTCAAACAGTTAGAAAAATCTCATCTGCTATCATGCCCCCACAAAATGTGCTCCTAGGAGACCAATCTTGGACCGATGCAATACAAAAAGTTTACGAGTTAGAGGCTTCATGAGTGAGTCGGCTAATTGATCAGCCGTATGGACATGAGAAACACGAAGTTGACAGTGGATAACTTGATCGTGCACAAAATGGAAGTCAATGGCAATATGTTTCATGCAAGAGTGGAACACCGTATTAGCGCATAGATAGGTAGCTCCGACATAATCATAATATATTATAGGAGTGGAATTAATGTTGAGTTCCTGGAGTAGTTTTGTGATCCAATTGAGTTCTGCAATGATAGTGGCAATGACACGGTATTCAGCTTCAGTTATAGACCGTGCAATTGTCTTTTGCTTCTTAGAACTCCAACTGATTGGATTAGCGCCAAGGAAGATAATATAGCCCGATGTGAATGTTCTATCATCAAGGTTGCTTGCCCAATCAGCATCGGCAAATGCATGAAGATGAAGTGGAGAGTGTTTACGAAGACCATGATTGAGGATTCCTTTAAGATATCGTAAAATCTAATATATCGCAAAATCCTCTTGACCGCAGACCAGTACATAGTAGACGGTTGCTGTATAAACTGTGATAATTTGTTGATTGCAAAGGAGATATTTGGATGGGTGAGAGCTAAGTACTGTAAAGAACTAATAACTTGGCGGTATTGAGTGGGTTCCGTAGTAGAACTTCCATTAGATAATTTGAGAGAACCACTGGTCGAGAGGGGGGTTGTAATCGTATTTGCATCCTGCATGTTTATCTTTAATAACAAATCTTGAATGTACTTTCATTGTGATAAAAAGAGACCTGAAAATGTGATTGTAGCTTCGACGCCCAGAAAGTAGTTCAAGGGTTCTAGATCTTCAAGCGAGAATCGATCCGCCAACTATTTGATGAACGCTTGGATTTTGACAAGATTGTTGCCTGTGACAATAATGTCATCCACATATACTAGAATATATATTGTGTCTCCATGGTGGTGTCGTAAAAATAACGAAGTGTCAGATTTGGAGTTGAGAAAGCCAACGGAAGTCAAAAAAGAGCTAAGTTCAGTGTACCAAGCACTTGGAGCCTAACGAAGTCCATAAATGGCTTTCCGAAGTTTGCAAACATGCTTTGGATACTGAGGATGAGTGAAACCATGAGGTTGTTGCATAAAAACATCTTCGGTTAGAGACCCTTGTAAAAAGGCATTATTAACATCCAATTGTCATAATTGGTAGTCTTTAGTGGTAGCCGGACTTAAGATAAGCCAGATTGTAGTGGGCTTAACAACAGGACTAAACGTCTCAGGGAAATCAACTCCAGGTCATTAATGAAACCCTTTGGCAATGAGGCGTGCCTTATATCGGATAACAGAGCCATTTGGATTTCACTTAATTCGAAAGACCCACTTACACCCGATAATGTTTTGTGAATGATGAAAGGGTATTAGATCCCATGTTGAGTTATGGAGAAGGGGATTATATTCCTCACATATGACAGTATGCCAATGCGGAGATTTTTGGGCTTGAGTGAAGGTGGTGGGTTCAACGGTGGGGGATGATGAATCCATGATGGCATATAGGTTAAGGACTTGACACGGTTTGAAAATACCACTCTTAAAGCGTGTGGTCATAGGATGGTTAGAGACTACAGGATTGGGAGGCGGTATTGATGGAATAAGCGGTTGAAGGTTAGTGGCACAAGTCGGGTCAAGTGGAGACACGTCAAGTAAACTTGGTCGAGAAAGAAGTAAAGAGAATGGTTGTGTTCCGGAACATATTACCCTATCAATTGGGGAAGAGAGGAGTGGAGTAGAAATGGAAGGAATGGGCAATTGCTGAACTAGAGTAGTATAGTGTGGATCAGGAGGGGAGGAACTCGACGATGTCATGGGAGGCTCATTCGATTGGACCGAAGGTATACTCCAGTGAGATAGTGAAGTGGTCTGCATGGCAGGATAGTGAAGGTTTTGGAAAGAAAAATTAGACTTAACAAAAACAACATGACGTGATATGAAGACTTTGTGAGTGTAGAGATTATAGTAGTGGAAAGCATTATGTTCAAGTGAGTAACCAAGAAAGATGCAAGGAGTAGATCGTGATGTTAACTTATGAGAGGTATAAGGACATAACCAAGGATAACATAGATAATCGAACACTCTAAGTTTACGAAGGTTAGGGGGTTTATGAAATAGTGTGTCAAATGGGGACTGGTATTATAGTACTGGTGTAGGCATTCGATTAATAAGGTAGATAGCAGTTTAAAAGGCTGCTATCCAAAAAGTTAAAGGTATAGAAGCCTGATGTAGAAGTGTGAGCCTAGTTTCTACTATATACCGATATTTGCGTTCGGCGAAGCCAACTAGTTGAGGAGTATGCAGACCTTGTACTTGATATACGGTTGAGAACGCAGTTGCAACTTCCTTGTGATTATGCAACAGAGGAAGCTGCTGCGTGGTGGAGGAGTCTCGTCGGCCTCTAGCGAGGCTGGAAGGGGAGGAGCAGCGACGCAGCGACACAGTGGCATTGCCTTTTACAGCCGAAGGAGAAGAACAGCGGTGCAGGTGTACCCAAGCAGCGACGTAGTTGTACGTATGGACGGGCTTCTCGAACTCACCCTCCTTGAGCGCACTACTACTGCCGAAGTTCTCATTGAAGAAGGACGCACCGGCTATGGTGGAATACTTTGTTACCATGGTTCTGAGGCGAGATAGAACCCTCATATTACTGGGGTTGGGGCTATTGCTATGATACCATGTTAAAAAAGGGATAGAGAAAGAAATTATAAAAGAAGCTGATTTGTATCAACATGTCCCTCTTCTATTTATACAGGGGATTTTCCTTCTCGAAGAAGCAGTTGAATACTCAAAGTCCATGCACTACCATAAAAATTCCAATCCGAAAAATAATGCACAATTTAGTAGGTTGATTATCAAAGCAAGATGATTTCATGTTCATGAAAATATATTTTTTTAATCGTAAATCCAAAAAATAATCAACATAAGATTTACGTAACTCGACACTCTTTGTCTATATCTATGATAAATAAATAAATTTGTTACCAAACTATAAATTCTTTTGGGCTACACAAATCTTTATATAAATGTTCTCGCATAAACACCGTGAAACTTTAAGAACACCAAATACCTTAGATAGATCGAGTATCAATAAGATAACTAAACCCTAATTTTTAAGATTCTTTTCTTTGACATATAAAACTTTAAGAACACCAAATACCTTAGATAGATCGGAAGAAACAACCTTGAACTGCTATAATGGACAAAACAAGCTGAGTTGTGGGTGGGATCAATCGCTGCTGATGGTGGAAAGCAAACTCTACCGATAGAATCAGAAGCGTCATGACAAGCGAAAAAGGGCCTCCAAGTTTACCATGAAGAGACTCTCTAGCCTTGCATTTCCTCCATAGATTCCCATGTACCTTTCCTTGTCTTCAACTTGGATGCCGATGCTCTGCTGCTCCAACTATATCCCTTCTTCTCTACGCTTTTCGATGGCAGCACACCGGCATAGCAGCAGCAGCAGCAGCAGCTGAGTAGTGGGCAGCTCGTCAAGATCTTCATCCAGGAACGAGAGGTATGGAGCAAGCGAGATGTTGGATGTGGGCAAGAGCAAACTACAGCAGCAGGCCTCACCTCAGCACTCAGATCCATAGACTCCTCTTTGGATCTTCCTACAACCAATCATGGGAGGAGAAAGCCTTCGCCGAAGACGCTGCAGGCCACTTGGGAGGCTGCGTGTGGCCTCCGAGATCTTATTCATGCAGCTTTTGCAGACGAGAGTTCCGGTCAGCACAAGCTCTCGGTGGGCACATGAACGTGCACCGAAGGGATAGAGCCAGGCTCAGGCAATGTTCGAGCGTCGGCGGAGAAGCTGGCGAAGACCAACAGCATCCAAATCCTTGCTTAATGGTGGCCATGGCCTCAGAGCATCCACCGCAGGTTAACCCTAACCCTAATTCTGGCGTTCCAGCATCATCTGTCCCTCCTAGGGTTCCTGCTGCAGCCACCAAAGGAAATTGGACTGAGGACGCCGTGTTCTCCCCTTCCTTCTCTTCATCCAGAGCTGGTTCCATGGAGCATTCTACACCTCTCCATCTGGTTCTTGGCCCACAGCTGAAGCTCGGGGTGGAAAACTTGGGGTCCAAGAAAGCCTGTGAAGATGAGGAGCAGAACCGTAACAAGAGAAGAAGAACCGAGACAACGCCTGTTTTCTTCATGAAATCCTTTTCTTGTGATCAGCAACGAGTTCAACCTGAGGCACTAAACCATGACACAGTTGAAGAGTTGGATCTTGAGCTCAGGCTTGGAGATGCTCCCAAAGTCAACTAGAATTTGGACCTCTTCTGCTTTCATCAGTATGTATATTAACCTTGTGTTCTTAGTTATCTCAATTATCTTTCTAATTGTGAGGTCTCTTCTCCCTTTCTCTTCTCATATTCCTTGGAACTCAAATTTTCTCCTTAGTTAGATATTTTAACTATGAGAACATGGATGTAGAACAATTAGAATAAAGCATCATCTTCTCTATGACTAAGGATTGCTTGCATAGGGATATATAGTGATTATCTACAAGCCGAGAACGAGAGAGAGAGAGAGAGAGAGAGAGAGAGAGAGAGAGAGATATGCTGTTGCACCTTAAAGATCTGATTTATTTCAAATAACCATTAAAGATCTGATAATAGAATTTTGTTTTTTTGAGAAAGACAATCATTGACATAATAAGGATTTTGTCTTTCAGATCTACTGAAAGAATGTGTTTGTTCTAAGGATTTCTTTTTCTAATGTTAGACCAAAGTGACAAACCATCCACTTCTTGCATAATGAACATTTTAGAAAGGATCAAATAGGTTTCCATGAGATCACAATATTCTAATTATTTCTTTCTAGTAAACATCTCCTTAAATTGCAGAAACACGTGATGGCAAACTATCAATTATACAAAGTAGAATTCAATTATTTAAATGTATATGTTCTAGAAATATATATTTTTGTCATAACATGGACAAAAAAGATTGCTTTTTTTTTTTTTTGCATGAGTGAAGGAATTTGAATATGGCATATATGCTGTTTACTTCTTTTTAGTGTCTTAATTTTGTCCATAAACACAGAGGAGAAGATTAATACTTTGCATGCAATTAAGTGGAGTCATTTATTCTTTCTTTTCTATACATTTTTGTTTGAGTGAGTGAGACTCAACAACTCAGAAGAGATGAGTGACTTAAACTAGTCAGGATTAATATATATTAAGTCAAATATCAATTCAATCTGAAAATTTAAACTAATAAATTATGAGTTGGACTCATATAATTATTTTCTTAGTGTTTTTTTCAATCTCTCATCAAACATAAATATCTTCTAACAAAAGAAACAGAAAAATCTGAGATTTAGTGTGCATGGGAAGTGGTGAGATCGATTGGCTTTCTTTCTGCTCCTACATTTCCAGCCTAATAAGTTCACTCACTGACACATTCGGCCAGTCGAATCCAACCCTATAAATCTGGGTCTTGTTTAGAATGTGCAACTCCAAAAGCATCAGTACACGGATTCCCTTTTCTGCTGCATTTAAGAGCATTGCTTCTGGCTTTTCTCCCCCTTGCAAGGCTCCAAATCCGATAACACCAGGGAATCACACCATTATAGTAGTAGCTCACCATGCATCCTCCATTGACAACATCGAAGAGAATAACCTCGACCGCCTTCTTCGCTGCTCTTTTGTTCCTTCTGCTGCATGACCGCATTATCTGCAGCATAAACCACTTCACTGAAACCCTAATGAACTCCAGAGAGTATATATATCATGGAAAGGCAACAGAAGAATATAAGAGATGTGAAGGTGGAGGCTGCATGCAAGAGAGGTCTGTGACACAAGATAGAGTATTCAAAGGGAGTGGCTTTGTCTTCTTCTACGTTGGGATGCTGGATCTGACGCAAGTTCGTTCGGACATGAACAGCTAGTGGAGTAGGGAAGTACAGAAAGAGAGAGGTTGTTTGATTCTGAGCAAAAGTGTTGGAACAGTGATGAAGTAGAGCACATGGTGGGGAACGTGTCGTTTGTGAAGATTAGGGTTTATACAACTCAGGATAGGAATGAGGCTTGGTTGGGGTGTGTGAAGACAGGACTGTTCCATTAATTAATGGAAGCTTTGGCAATGCTGTGACACCTTAGATAGCATAAAACAACTGTGTATGTTACAATAAAAGTCACCAGAGAATATCGAATCAAGTGTACTGATCGAGATGTTATTAATCTGAAAATGTTTTATCAGCAGGCAATTGGAGGACTAAATATTATTATTATTTTTAATTTTTATTAGTACCCTTGTCTCTGCCTTAATTGTTATCTTTGCCTTTTTGCCTCGACCTTTATATATTCTTTTATCAAGGTGGTGGTGTTTTTGATTATAGAACCTGTTTAGTTATACATATTTATTGGTTCTCGGACCATCAAAGAACCCATTAATTCATCATTGTCTATCTTCTTAAAATCTTTGGATTTCTTGATCAAATAAACTATATATACTCATTGAGATCTTAGTGATATAAGAATCTTTTCCAAAATTTTATTGTCACTAACCTCTTCACCATTGGTTTTCATCTTATTCGTGAAAACCAAAGTACGAGAAAAATCATCTGAGATAGATTCACTTTGATTCATCTTCAAACTTTTAAACTTTGATCTCAGTGCTTGTAGGTATACTTTCTTCACCTTAGTCATGCCTTGGTAAATCTTCTTAAAGGTATTGAGTAGATAGAGCATCATGTGAAGTTTTGGTTACGGAGATCCTTCTCAAAGATATTGGGTTCTACTGCTTAATAAATAAAGGTAAGAGCCTTTCTGATTTTTTTTTCTATGATATTTGATCTCGACCTTTTGATTTGGGGTGTAGAAATTTTCTTTTTTTTTTACTAGACTATGTAAAACCTTTGTTAATAATATCTCAAATATCTTGATATTTAAAAAATACCTTTATTTAGATGCTCAAGTAATAATAGTTTTTACTAGTGAATCAAAGAATTTGAGGTTAAATTATATTATTGAAGGAAGCCATGTGGATTATCTTGTGGTTGATATCACTAGTGTTGCTGTAAGAATTCTTCTCTCTATAGTTTCTCTATCCTTGGATTTTCTCTTTCTATACTTTTTCTCTCTTCATATTTTCTCTCTCTATTATTTTTCTATTAAAAATAGAATTTTTCTCTTTAAAAAGAATCATTTCTCTCTATATTGCTATTTCTCTCTCTAAATAGGCTTATTGCTTTCTTTACAATATTATTTCTCTCTCTAAAGAGTGCTATTTCTCTCACTATAGATTTATTTTTTCAATCTAATAGGATCTAATCAGGATTTTCGACGGGATAAAATAGGTACTCACAACATTTACTATTCTCTTAGATCTCACACCTCTCTCTTAGGGTGGATCATTCTCTCTCACTTAGTGATATGATTTGAAATATTTATGACTTATAAATATGATAAATGACATGCTCATATTTTTTATTTTTGAGATTAATATACATGATTTCTAAAAATATTATTCTTGGTGTTCTATATATACATAAGCATTAATATTTATTTTAAACATAACGTAATAAGTTTAGTAGATTTAAATATGAGATTAAATTATGATAATAATATAATGCTCGAGTCTCACACGTTTTAAATTATAACTAGCATGTCAATAGAAGCATAAATAATATATATATATATATATATATATATATATAT